GGAAAAGTGAAACCAGCAAAGACTCCATTATTTATAGCTCTTTATTGAAAAAACACATGCAAATTCTTATTACCTGCTTTCAATGGCTATTTGAAATTCCTGTTGACTAATGGTGTTTTCATTTATCAACCCTCCTATCAAAAATAAGCAGAAAAAATATGGACTTTGTCATAATGAATCCAGTAGCTATATTTCGAACGTCCTGAAAATCATTCAACAACTCCTCAAAATTATAAGGTAATAGAACTTTTGAAATGGTCCCATTTCTAGGATAGGAGAGTTGAACTTATATGTGTGTTCCCATGCTGTAGTCCTAGATAACTTGCAATAGGCAGAAGAGAAAATATAATTTCAAGGTGCTGCTTCGCAATCTTCAGAGTTATTGATAACACACAAACTAGACTACAGATTATCTCTGAACTCTCTGTCACTTTAACAGAAGTGCCAATTGAAGTACATTTCTATCATACCTGGGTTGAAAAAATATCTTCAGTTTAATGGGTGCTGTGAATAATGGATGGTTTTATAATCCCCTTAAGAGGAGAAAGTAACCAATATAGAAACAACGATGAAAACGCAAGTGGAATATCTGCCTATGGTCAAGCATCAGAGAAAATCAGATTGAAGCAAATATACCAGCTTGACTCCAATTCCAGTTAATGGGAAGGTGGAGCCAATTCTTCTCTCATTACAGAATCTATAAAAAATGTAACATAAAAATTATCATTTCATGTCTCAGGATGAAAAGAAGGTATGGAGTCAGGAATCCAGTGTCAGCCTTTTGCTCCATACCTCTACTTTAAAGTCTCTGGAAGACAAATTAATTATTGAATATTTTTGACTGATGATCCCCGTATTTACTTTCTATCTTTCAGTTTTAAACTTAAGTCAACGTATGTCAACATAATTTACTCCTGCAATTTCACTGTGCTGCCTTTGCTTTTGCCAGACCTCGGTGAGGGCAAAATGATGGTTTAATGGAAGTGACAGCTTTTTTAGCTTCAAATATTTTTGCACTTATACCTCCCAGAATAAAGAATTCAGTTCTCTTCTTCTGAGTGGACCCGGAATCACAAGCTATTCTGCTGAATGAGCCTCTGATTACCAGACCCTCGGTCATTCACTTCGGACCTCTTGCTCATCCACCTTAACATGGCTGGCGGTTTGCACTGTGCGGGCCGGGGCGGGGGTGCCCCTCTCCGTGTCATAAGTGAGAAGAGTCATGCCTGGAGAGAGGGCAGTGCAGAACATAGGGGCCTGGTGCGTACCTGCTGTCATAGGAAGTCAACCTGGTGACTAGGTCTGACCATTTATGTTATAGGGAGCAATACAGAGAAAACAATTTTTGCACAATGGAAAAGAAGGTTGTGGGTGATTGGGAAACCACGGCATCCATTGAGTGACTGCTGAAGGGGACAGGCGCTCAGGGGCACTAAGCCCTGCCAGCTGCTTGGATTACTTCACTGAGTATCCAAATCCATAGTACTAGTTACAGGACAATAATGAACAAAGGTGACCGTGTACATGTCCTTAAATTAAATTACCTAAATGTAAACATATTCCCCATTGGTGTGACTATTTCGCATTATAGCTTGGGGTAACTTTTTGTCTAAAGAATATTATTTGATCTCCCGGAACCCTACAGAACAAAGTATCATGATGCAATTTTTTCCTATATTGCAGAGAATTGCAATCACTAATTTGTTCATATATCCACTAAATTTCATATCAGCAATATACACTTACAAAGTCATAAGGTAGTAGGAAGTACAAAGCAGTCTACCATTTAACAATTCCCGCGGTTATGTTCAGTATTTTAAGAGTATGGATGAATCGCAGTAAAACACACGGGACTCTCCCAAATCCGAACATATAAAATGCTGTGTTTACATTAGAAAGCCTGCCAAAATGTCCTGGAACCGCACACTTCGCCAGCAGAGAACTCCTGTCTTTTAGTCATAAACAAAAGCAAAAGCACCAAGCAACAGATCCCTCCCCAAACAGGAGTCAGCCATTCTTTCACATGACCCGAGGTCCATGCGTTGGGTTTCACTGGGCCCGGCCTCAGCTGAGGTTTGGAATCGCCTTTCCTGGTTCCATTGCCTGGAGGGCAGACCAGTGATCCCTCAGCGTTGGGGTGCACACACTGTCGCGCTCTTCTAAATCACCCCGGGCTGGAAACCTCCCGTCTCCCTCTTGTGGTTCAAAATGAGAGCAGATAATAAGACGAGGCTGAAAATCATCTCGGCAGGTAAATTATGAAAAAGAGAATAAAATAGGAGTGAAAAGCAAGCTGAGTGAGGTTCTCCGTGTCCCTCTTCAGACAGAGCCGACGCACCGTTGGGGGGCGGGGGCGCCCCTCTCGGCCTGGACGTCAGAGGCAGGCGGCGCCCGCTCTGGCTCGTTCCCCGATGAGCTCTTGGACTCCGGGTCCCTCTCTCCACTGCGGTGTCTCATACACAGTATGAGGGGATTTGACTACATAAGCTTCTAAGGTGCCCTTACCCTTAATCCACCAGTTCTAGTTTTTCTTTTTTCACAAACTCCGGAAATGTGTCTTAAATGTGTCTCTAAATGACAATAAGGTATATGGTAGACTCAATGCATGTCAGTTCAACACATAAATTAGTTTTGGGGACTAAGAACAAGGGGGTCTTCTTTGGCAATTATCTGACAAACTGTTATTTTTGAGATCTTTCTCTTTCAGACAAGGTAAAGAGAATGCTACCTAAGAACAAGCAGCTGAATTACATGAAATATCTCTTATTCTTGACTCCAGCCCTGTTAGATATGTGTGGCTCAGGAATCAAATTCTCCCATAAACTTAAAGAATCATTTAATCCTGCCCAGATCCTCATGCCCAGAATGGAAAATCCCAACCACCTATGGAATGTATTGTACAAACAAAATTGAAGAAACTCAATTCCTAACAAAGAGAAGTGCTTTGTACCTTCTGAACAAAGAAAGCCGTTAGCAGATAGAGGAGTTTTACTTCAAATATGAAATGAAATACTAGAAAACAAAATTATTTTAAAACAGCTAATGTTGAACAGAAAACAACTGCTGCAAATTGCGTGAAAGAACTAAACATTTACCTCTATTATTTGTTTTTATTTCTTGGGTCGAATTTGCATTATTTAACCTTTAACCTGAGACAAATTACTTTTCAATTTCTGAATTTCTTATCTAGAAAAAGTAAAGTTCACAGAAAATTGGACCAGATAAATTCTAGAGTCACTTCTAGTTCCTATGATTCTATATAAGGTTCTTTTTTTGGTTATAGAGATAATAGAGTTCATATCAAAAATTCACTTAACGTGGATAAACTTTGAGGACATTATCCTTAGCAAAATAAGTTAGTCATAAACACTGCATGATTCCTATCACATGAAATGTATCAAGTAGTCAAAATCATAGTAAGAGAAAGCATAAAGGTAGTTACAAAGGTCTAGCTGGAGAAAGAAGGAGGAGCTGGTGCTCAGCGGGTATAGAGTTTCAGTATTACAAGGTGAAAAATTTCTAGAGATCTGTTGCTCAACAATGTGAATATACTTAGCACTACTGAACTATGCACTTAAAATTTAAGGTGGCAAATTTAAGAGTATTTTTTTACTACAATAAAAATTTGTTTTAGCATAAGAACAAAGAGGACATTCGAAACCATCCCAAATGCAGTCACTTAGAGGAAATCTTTATGAACCACCTGATGCATGTCTGACCGGCATGTTGCCTGTCTTTCAGCAGCAAATGAGAGTCTACGCTGCGGTGCTGTCTGCTGGGACCGAACCGGGCCGGCCAGACGCAGACCCAGCTCTCACGGGAAAGGAAATCAGAAGCCACAGGCAAGGGCCAGGGGCCGCCAACAAGGGGAGACGGAGAGAGTGAGGGGCGCGCAGAGGAGGGCGAGCAAACCAGGAAAGGGATGGGGGAGGCTCTCCAGGGGGAATAGTGGCTGATCTGAGCCGGAAGGATGACAGGAAGCTATCAAGGCAAAAGGGAGGCGACAGCACTCCAGGCAGACGGAACACAGGCAAAGAGCTAGGCCACGCGAGCGCGGGGCTGCGGACGGGGAGGGGAACACCCAGAGAAGAGGCGCAGGATCTCAGAGGGCTCTGGACCCGGTGCTGCCGAGCCGGACATTTTCCCGAAGGCGATAGGGAGTCTTCGCAGAGTGTTAAGTGTGGAGTGGACAAGGCTGGGTTCTAATTTAGGAGGAGCTCTCTGGCTTCGGTGCAGAAAATGTGCCGGAGGGGTCACGCCTGGTTAAGGGAGCACATCCAGGTGGCTGCTGCAGCGGGCGGGGCGAGAGAGAGGCAAAGGGAGTCAAGGTATGTGGTGTCAATAGTTTTGGGCTTAAGTATTTTCATTCATTGTCCCATAGTTAGTATTATCCCAGATTATAAAAAAAAAAATATTGGTAACTATTTTTAATGGCTTCATGGTAATTTCATCAGATGAATATTTCATTATTTTTTAAACTGCTCTTCTATATTTAAAGCTTGTTTCTAAGTTTTTGTTATTTGAAACAAGTGGAATACATAGTTTTGTATAAGATCCTTATCCACATTTTAAGAATATTTTCACGAGTGTTAAGATTATGCTAATTTTCTGCAGCAGATGGCAGAAGAAATATCTTGCAAAAGATAAGATTATAATCCAAACATGCAAGATAATGCTACCAAAGGGGGGTGTGTGTGTGTGAATATAGACAGTTTCATTTTGTCCTAAAAGACCATTCTGGATGGCAGACTTTTGAAGAAGCCATAACCTAACAATACATCCCTTATGTTTCTTGAAACAGGGAAAGCTGTGGGTTTGAGCTCCGCAGTTCATCACTTTATCCAGGCAAAAGGTCAACTGCTGCACAAGGCCAAAGCTAAAAATAAAGTGTAGCACTGGTAAAATTAAGGAGTTGGTCAGGGGGACATGAGTCATACCAAATTAGCACTTCTGTATCTTTCCATGCTCTGGGCTAAACTCCTCAGCCAGGGAAGGCAGACTGGTTCTGATATGAAGTAATTTTAATAATGATACTAATAACATCAGTCATAATACAGAGTAGTTTCAACCTATAGCCCTTTTGTTCCCAATGACCAAATTTGATTGGCTTCAAATTTAGGAAGACCTCTTCGGCTTCAACAGAGAGAATGGGTTGGAGACCAAGAGTTGGTCCTCATAGGTGGTCTACAGACCTGTCTACTGCCTGTCCGTTTATGCAAGGTCCCCAGGAAGACACTGCACCACAAGGCGGCGCCTCCAAGGAGCTGAGCCCACTCAGAGTTCATCAGTGGCCTGGTCGACCTTCATGGACTAGAAGAATGGCAATAGCAACATGGAGTATCTGCGGCCTGTGTGTGGCCTGCGAGAGGACTTTGTGCACGATCCCTTCTTCACTGTGATCCCGAACGATTCTGGGGACATCCAAGTAACTCGTGCCAGTGGGACTGTTTATAAGGTTGCATCTCTTCAGGAAATTGTCCAACTACTGCTCCTTCAAATGCAAGTCAAACCTTTTCAGGACTGAAAAGGAAGCTTCCTTTCCATCCTCCGAGAGAGAGAAAGGGAGATTAGACACTGCTACTTTGCGAAGTTTCCACGTACATCGTACGTTCAGGTTTTTAAATTTTTCTTCTTGTTAAGAGTCATGGGAAGACAGTGGAGGACAAGTTGGGTGATTTATTCAGCCTTTTAAAAGAGTATTTACTATGTACGTATAGGACACAATAGGGCTATGAAGTCATAAAAACTGTCTTCCTGGAGCTCACATCCTAACTGGAGAATGCATGCAAAGCACACAAAGTAACGATTACATACAAAGCACACAAAGTAACGATTACATACAAAGCTCTCTTCTCTCCAGAAGAGAGCTCATCCCCTGCTGCTGGGACACCCAGGAAGAGAAAGTAGCAGGGAAATGTTTTAATGGACGGCTATTTCTTTCTACTTAGAATCCATATATTTAAGACTAGCTTACATTAAAATTTTATAAAATTATGCCATTCCTAAAGTCACGAAATATTATATAAAAACAAATGCTTGAAGTTCTAGCCCCCAGAACCTCAGAATGTGACTGGACTTGGGGGTAGTGTCTTTAACGAGGGAAATAAGGCCCTGACCGATGTGGCTCAGTGGGCGGGCGGCCATTGGGCAAGGTCACTGGTTGAATTCGGGATCAGGGCACCTACGTGGGTTGCTGGCCAGGTCCTCAGTAGGGTGCGCCTGCGAGAGGCAGCCAGCTGTCTTCCATCGATGTTTCTCCACCTCTCTTTCTCTCTCCCTCTAATAAATAAATAAACGCTTAAAAAAGAAAGAAAAAGAAATTAAGCCACATTGGGGGGCTAAGGAGAAGAGGGGTTCAAGGAGATGACCATTTGGAGGCGAGATACCAGGACTAGACGCGGCAGGTCACGGTGGGTAGGGCTGGAGACCAGCACGAGTGAACCGGCTTCGCAGGTGTGAGGACTTCACCCGTAAAATGTAGAGAGACATCCGATAGGATTCAAGCCGGGACGTGACGCATCAGAGCAGCCCAGGCGGAGGGCAGTCCCCTGGCTTCAGGGTAAGGAGGCGGGGCCTTGGGGAGCCTTTCACTTCCCAGTTACAGAGCCAGGCTCGGAATGCAAATGCCCCTGAAAGGGGGCCACTTCGACCTGAAGGTGAACTCCCTGAAGGGAGGGTCAGGGCCTTAGTCACTTCTGCTTCCTTGCCCTCAAGCCCAATACCTGGTGGTTTAAAAAGAAGAAGAAAGAGAAAGGGAGGGAGGCAGGGAGAAGGAAAATGAAATGCGCTGTATGGAACCCAGGTCACACCGAGGCGTGAATGGTGGGGCTTGTGAAAGCTTCCCCTTGCGGAGGCTGAGCGCGGGCCGCGCTCGGGCGGTGGTAGCGGTTCCGCCCAAGGCTGGAGGGTCCTCCCGGCGAGGGCGTTGCAAGGCCTTAGCGAGTCACTTTCAAAGTCAAGGGAACACCGCCTGCCTCGGTTCGGCTGAAAGAATTGCACGCGACAGGGACGGACATCAAGGGCTTAGCGCAGTGCGCCGCACAAAGCAATCGCTGAGTTAACTTTGGGGCCGAAGAGTGTCCCTCCCGCGGGTAGTAGCCTTGCAAACGCAGTGAAGGAGGCCCTGGGACGAGGGAGGGGCCCGTAGGGAGCCGGGTGTAGCGAGGTCGAGAAGTCAGTTTTTCGGTGTCGCCCCGAAGCAGGACCAGTCCTCCTCGCCCGGCCGCAGCAGCTCGGCCAGCGGGCCCCGCAGCCCTGGGCGCAGCCCCGCCACCTGCGCCCGCCCACCTGCGGCGGGCTCCTCCGGGGCCTCTGCGGCCGCTGCGAGGGCCTCCCTGGGCACCGTCTCTCCCGACGGCGGCGGCGGCGCGGGGTCAGCGCTGGGGGGCGCACGGGGAGGCGGCCGTCGGAGTGGGGGGCCGCGCTTCCCGCGGGCCTGCCGGGAGGAAGAGGACGCGCCGGCTCCAGCCAGCGGGCCTGCTCACCGGGTCCCACCCGCGGCTGGGCACCCGCGCGCTGTGCGGCTGCGCGCCGAGCGGGGCACAGAACCGTCGGGCTCACGGATCGGAGCCGCCAGCTTCCTTCCAGCCCCGCCCTTAGGTCACACTTCGTCGCGTCCCCACCGCCCCCCAAGCCGCATAAGCTCGGCTCCTGTTCCCTGGCGTCCTCGTTACTGCTCCGCTCGCCGCGGGCAGCCGGACTGCGCCCACCGTCCCCGGCCCGCAGCGCCCCTGCGGAAGCCCGGGAAGCGCCCTGCAGAGGCGGCGACGAGGGATGCGCTAGGAGACCAACCCACCCCACCGCACCCGGGTGTGTGCCCGCCACCCCCAGGGCCGAGTCTACCCGGGAGGCTCCGGGGAGCTGGATGCGGGGGCCAGCCTGCCCCCCACCCTACTCTGGCCCCGTGCAAGGACCTGGTGGCGCCCCTTGCAGCGGGGCGGTTTGCCCGGGTGGGGGACGGGGCTTGAAGCGCCCCTCCACCCGCAGGAATATCGGGATCCTCTGAACCCCAGAACTGGGCGAGGTAAGGGAAGGTAAACGCAAGCGAGGAGTTGATCCAAAGATAGCTCTGTCTCTTCTATTTAAAGCTAATTACCCTGCCCCCTCTGAGTAAGTTAGAGGAATTGCCCAGGTTGACAGAGTCCTGCACCAGGTGCTGCTACCCAAGCGCTTCCCGCCCCTCAAGCTGCCTGCTTTCTCAGGGTAAATGCGGAGGACTTACTGGGGCCTCTCCACCCAGCCCCTCGGAGACAGATCTTCTCCTTACCAGTCTCCCCATCCTATTAGAATGTCCCCAGGACGTTTTTGTGGGCTACTCAAGGTTAATGTTCAGTTTGGTGTCCCTTAGCCCAGTTAGTGGATGGTGAACTTAAGCACGTGGTTAGTCTTTGTGGGTCCGGCCAACTAGTTTCCCAAAGTGATGGTACCATTTCACTTCCCCACCCGCAATGTATGAGGATTCCGGTTGTTCCACATTCCTGCCAACCCTTGCCAACTGCCTTTAATTTCAGCGTTCTGGGCTGTCGTGGTATCTCACTGTGGGATTTTTTATTTTTATTTTTGGCTGAATCATAAAAATGCTGATAATTGGCTTACAGAAATGGTGATTTCACATGATTCAACCTCATATACATTTCCGTAGCAATAATGTGAAATGCCTTATCATATTTTTATTAACTATGCATATAATCTCTTTTGTGAAGCATATCCATTTTTAAATTGGGTTGGGTGTCTTTTTCCTCTCTGATGGGTAGTTTGCCTTTTTCACTCTTAAAGGCTTGTTATGTGTTCAATTGTGCATCCCTTCAAATTTGTATGTTCAAGTCGGGAGTCCCAGTACCTCTGAATGTGAGTGTATCTGAAGACAGGGCCTTTAAAGAGATAAATTAAAATGGGGTCCCCACGGTGAGCCCTACTCCGTACGACCTTGTAAGAAGAGGAGACTCAAGCACACACAGGCAGAAGACCATCAGAGGACATGTGAGCAGGCCGACGTCTACGAGCAAAGGAGGGAGGTCAGGAAAAGCCAGACCTGCCCCGCCTTGATTTTGGACTTGTAGCCTCCAGGATACTGAGAAAATAAATTGATGTTTAAATCACCAGTCTGTGGTAATTTTTTTAAAAATGGCAAACCCTAGCAAACTGATTCATTGTATAATTGATTAACTAAAGTTCAATAAGCCCAATTTATCAATTTTCTTCATGGGTTCATTTAATTATTTTATTTTTGTGTTAAGCCCATTCTTGATTTTTTTAAATTGCTGATAAAATAAAACAGATAGTTTCTAAAGGTACAGCCATAGAGGAAAACACTATATGGCAAAAAAGAAAAAAGCCCATGTTATGCTTCATGAGGAAACATTGAAAATATTACAATTAAAGTCAGGAAGAACACAGATTGTCTGTTACCCCCATTATTATTTAATATTTTACTGATGATGCTGGCCAATGCAATTAAACAGAAAAAAAAAAAAAGGAAGGGGCATAGTCATTGGAAACATCATTTTACTTCCTAAATGATTATAATTTGCAGGCAATTTGGTTCGTGACCCAAAACATTCAAGGGAATCAATTGAAAAACTGTTGCGACAATGTGAAACTTCTTTAACATGATTCAGTCCAGATATTAAAAAAACCAATAGTCTTTCTATATTTCCAACAACAATCTTTGGAGAAATATAAGGAAGAATCCCATTTAAAATAGCAGCAAAACCACAAAAGTATCTACTATGGATAAAAGTCCCAAATCATCCAGTTTTCATGGAAAAACTATTGACTATTATAGAAGTGCAAAGTCTCCCTAAACATGTTTTGCCATTTAATATAATCTCAATTAAAATAGTTTTTACATTAGGCAAATATTGACATAGACATAGACAAGAATACAGGAATAGGCAACAAATCTGAAAAAGAAGAGTCTTAGAGGCACACCAACACCATACTGCCTTGATCACTTGTAGGCATAAATATCTTGAAGTCAGGTAGCATTAGTTAAGGAATTTAGTTCTGGTTTTTTCTAAGTTGTTTTGGCTATTCTATGTCCTTTGCCTTTCTATATGAATGTTAGAATCAGTTTGTCAGTTTCTATCCTAAAAAAGCCTGCAGAGATTTTGATCAGGGTTGCATTAGACCTATTATGTCAGATTTAGCCCTACGTATTTTATACTTTATAACATGATGTTATTATGTTATTTTTATTCAGTTTCCAAGTGTTCATTGTTAGTATATAGAAATGCAATTTATTTTCATACATTGATCGTGTATCCTGCTAAAGCTTGATATTGGATTTCTAACTTCCAGGACGGTGAGAGATAAATTTCTGTTTATTACCCAGTTTGTGGTACTCTGTTACAGTAGCCCTAGGAAACTAATACAGAGATATTGAAACGTCTAACTATTTGTTGATTTTGCCTCTTTCTTCAATATTCATTTCATGTACTGAAAGCTCTGGTTTTAGATGCATAAACAGGATTGCTGTGTCCTCTTGATAAACCAACCTCTGTATTCTTTATAAAATGACCTTATTTATTTCTGATAATATTCCTCCTGTTGTAGCTTTTTCTAACTTATTTTAAACCTATTTGTGTCTTAAAGCCCATTTCTTGTGCACACATGTACTTAGGGTTGGTTTCTTTTCCCATGTGACGTCTCTCCTTTGATTTAAATACTTTTGCCTGCCATTTTGAGGCTGCCCTTTTATGTGTTTCATTAAAGTAGGAAGGTTTTTATTTGTTAGTTTTGGGTGCCGTGTAGAGATTTTTAATAAAAATTAGAGACAGAATGCTATTTTTAAAATAGCTGTGTGTGATCGCCCTCTAGTGGCCATATTGATTAGTGTTATCAAATTCAAAAAATGCTTCCAGGGCTTCACTTCCCCACGCACCCTGCGCATATTCGGCAGCGGTGTCCTTCCTTATTAATTGGACTTTCGTGTTTTCTGAAGCAGTAAATGAACTTGTGTTGTGGTCCCCAGAAACACTCCGCACCTCTACAGGAAATGTGGCACTCTCAGAACCTGGCAAAATAGTAGCCACCTGAAACCATATCAGTTATGGTGACATTAGCACCTTAATAAGTAATTCAGAAACATATGTAATAGTTGACATAGGATAGTCATGGTAAGTGGCATGTAAATGATGACTTTCAAAAACATGCAGAAGGAGAACAAATAGCATAGATTAAAAGGGCAAAAACAAACATTTCAAATACATGTAGTGATTCCTTTGCAACTTCCTTTGAATCTATAATTATTTCAAAGTAAAATTTTAAAAATATCATTGGTCACAATAAATGGAAATGGATCCAAACTTTCCAGCTAAAAGAATAAGAGTGTCAATTTGTCATTTTAAATTGGAAATTTTAAAGAGGAAAAAGAAAATATAGAGTGTACAGGGAACATAACTCCAACATACGGAATGGTTGGAAGTAAAGGAATATAAAAAGATAAATTAGGCAAATACAAACCAAAGGAAGGCAGGTACTGCTCTGTTTGCTTAGGGTGAAAAGATTTTAAGGCAAAAGCATAGCTATAGATGAAGAGGGCTACAACTTAACAATAGGAAGTTAAATTCACCCAGAAGGTATAACAATATTGTATGCCTTTAAAAACAAAGCCCTAAAATATGTAAAGAAAAATGTAACGGAACTACAAGAAGAAATTGATAAATCCACCATTAAAGTGGCTATGACTTTATACGGTAGACAGTATGTTATAGACAATCATATTTCTGCTGGTATAACTGCTCCTACTTTATATGGTGAAATTCTGCACACCTACATTTCATGGTGCACCACAGAAAGTAAGGTGGGTTCCCGACGCTCCTATTTTTGGAAAAATATAGCACTAGAAACTGAAGCATGTTATTTCGCTACTTATTCAACAAACATTTATTGAGCAACTGTTAAGTTTAAGGCATCATGTTGAAAGAATCCATTGTTGTGCATCTTTTGTTCAGTCATTGACTAGACATGCATACACTGGAGTAGCAGAGATTTACCGGGAAAACTGCCCTGAAGTCCCTCCCCACCCCCCACACTCTCAATTAAGGGCCTGTCTCCTTCTTAAAGAAATGTCTTTGATGGAACAAGAAAAGTAAAGAGTTTCCAAAATTATGATGTCTTTAATCTGTTATCTTCTAAAACTGAGAAAATACCGTCGTGAGAATGAATTAGTGGTGACAAAGCAACTTCACTTGGATGAAGAGGCTCCATTCTGCCAAGTGGGGGAAACAAGTAGGGCCCTTTGTGTCTCTGCTGCTTTCTAATGGTCGCACCTGGACCCCAGGGACGTCTTTAGAACTAAGGACAGGAGCGTGGGGCTGAGGGCTGGGTCTTCACGTGACCGTGTTGGCATCAGCTGCCAGCTCCTTATTCCCTTCTGGCCTTCAGTCATTGCCCTGACAAGGTCACTCCGGACACTGGCCT